TACCGGCTGACATGCAACACATTCCACAAACGATCGGCGTTATGAAAACTCAAAGTTGCAGCTATTCAATTAGTTCCGAGGCCTCTATACCGGCAAAACCGAAAAACAATAATAAGGTCGCGAAGTCTCGTAAACAGAATGCTTCAGCATCAGATACGGGCATCGAACATGCAGGAGTATCGAAAGATAGAAAAAACCATGCGGGGCCGGGGCTCGATCCTGATCTATTGAACGAGCAGGCTGACATCCCTCCAGCTACGCTAACGAATGACGTAGGAGAGGGTCCAAGTTGCACTTATTCAAGCAAAGCAAATAGCCAACTACGCGATACCGATGGGCAACATCCATCAGCAACACGCCAGTCATTTGATACAACACGTGTAAGTGGGGTTTCCACCGAAGTGGTGTTTGAAAAACCTCAGATCGTGCATAAGCCATCGTTAACCATCGACAGGCAAAGTTTGTCTTCCCCAAAGAAAGATATTCAGGAAACATCGAGAGGTTCGCCCGACCGATCGCAAAATCTGATAATACATGGACTTCCAGAATCCGAGGCCAAGACTTTCACAGATCGGGATTTGGCAGACCATGGGCTCTTCCAAGGTCTTCTCAACAAGCTCCTGCGGCCCACCTAGGTGGTAGATGTGAGAAAGCACTTTAGGCTTGGAATGCGCCCAAATGACATATAAGAACGTATACGTCCCCGACCGCTCAAAGTAGTGTTAGGTTGTGAAGAACAAGTCAAACTCATTCTCGCATGACGTTTCAGAATCAAAGATAACAATTGCGAAGTTTTTTTCAACTGGACTATACGCCGAAGGAGAGGAAAAAACGCCGACAGTTAGTTCTCGAAATGCGACTAAGAGAACAGAATGGGGAGTCAAATTTTACGATCTACAACGAACAGATAGTACACCGTCCTCCTCGTATTCGTTGGACAGAAGCAATTCGAATGAAGGCGCAACTGGTTCCTTATACGGAGGTTCAAAGTGGACCGTAACACAAGTCGCAAAGAATAAGTCGCTGAAGTTTATGTACAACAACGCACAGAGTATACTATCCAAGTTCGATGAACTGAAAGTGCAAATATCCGATATGTCCCCCGACATTATCTCTTTAA